GGGCTGGGGGCTTTGTGCACCCCACAGCCCCTCCAAACGCAGCCCCACGCTTCATAATACCAGGCAAAAGACTTTAATTCAGACAAGAGCCTTACATTCCTAGTTTACGGCTTAATGCTCAGCGTAGGGGCTCAGAGGGATCACCCAAGCTATTCTCTGCCGTCAACACGGCTTAACGAGACGTGGAGGGGAAACGAGGATTAGATAAAAAAAAAAAAAACAACAAACCCAAGAAAACCCAATTGGAGCCATCAAAAACAAAAATAAAATCCTTGGACTAACAAGCTTTGAGGCCGAACTAGGAGAAACAGCTGGTGCTGTGCTCTAAGTGGCTGTATCATCCTCTCTCATGTTTTATGGCCACTTCCATCTAAATTGCCACCATAATCCCAGGCAGGCCTACCTGCAGCCGGGGGCTTTCGGCAGCTCTGCCCCGTTGTTTTCCTCCTGAACCTGGCCATCTAAAGCAGGCTTGTTTCTTTTTATTCATGGTTTTATTTTCCGAGACATTAGCGTTTTCCAGGACGGCTACGTTAAGGAAATTGCAGCTCCTTTCTGAAAGGTGCTGCAAGACCTTTCTCTGGGAAAGGCAGTTTGCTGCTTTGTGGTTGTAGAGGGAGGTGAGATGGAACCTCACCTGCAGCTGCTCCTTTATGCTCTGGGAGGGAGAGGTGGAACGATCTCTTGATTTTTTTTTTTTTTTTAATGATAATTTTGTGCCGTGGGCTTTCTCCTAAAGGAAAATAGAGCTGCAACCTTTTGTTTCAGCTGGCCTGGAATAATGCTGGAATCTGCCGGGTGTGTGTTTGCCAGCCATCGATAAATCCCAGCAGTCCTTTGGTTGGGAATAAACCTTGCTCAGAGAATAGCTGCGGTCTCCCACCTCCGGGAGGGGATGCAGGGGGGGGTTCTGCGTGCTCCCAACCCATCACCCCGCTCCCCTCCTGGCACCCAGCCCCTGCCGGGGAGGTTTGCGGGGAGGCAGACAGAAGTCTGGACAAACTACAGGTCTCTGAGGGTTGGGTGTTGCAGGGCTGGCCCCGTCCCCGGCCACGCACGTGCCCCCACCCCAGCACGTCCTCCCCCTCAGCTGCAGCGTGGTGGCTCTGGGGGAAACCTGGGGAGCATCTCCACGTTGGGGGGGGCTTACCGGTGGCTTCACCATTTCTGAGAAGCTACCAGAAGCAAAGGGCTTTTTCTTCCATCTTGTCAGGCCAGGCTGGCTTCTCGGGGGGACTGGAAAGCTGTGTTGCATGTTGAGCATTTTAGGAGGGGATGAGAGGATGAGGAGGGGACCAGGGCAGGGCCTGTAGCACGGTGCTCCCCTCAGGGACTCTGCCAACAGTCCAAGGAGGAGGAGACAGCTGTGCTGGGGGAACGCAGAGCCATGGTACCTGTGGCCAACAGGCCCATCCTGCTGCTGGGACCAGGGGATGGGCCACGCACACCCCAACTGGGCTCCTCCACACCATCCTGCCCCCCATTTCGGTTGGGCAATCCCTGCGGAGTGACTGAACCCACCTAAAATTGCACTTCCATC